CCCGCCGCGGAGGTTAAGTATAGCCGGCGGAGGAATGCCGGCCGGGGGTGCCGCGCAGGCCGCGTCCCGCCGCCGCCGCCCCTCACGCCTGGCCGGGGGAAGGGGGAGGCGAAGGCGGCCCCCGGTGCCGCCGGGGGTGTCGGGGCGGCGGTTGGAGGCTCGGGGCTGGCTGCCCCCGGCGTGTCGCTCACCCGCCCCCGTTACCGTGTGGGGTCGCCCCTTGGGGGTTCCGCGATTCACCCTGGGGCTACGGGAGCGGAGCCGCCACCGGCTCCCCGCGGGGGAGACAGGGTCCCCGGCGTTTGGTGATGTGAACCCACTGTCACCTCCTTCTTGTCAGACTATAGAACAGAGCGGCTTTGCCGTGAAAGGACTACCAGTGATACTCCACTAATTCCTCCTTTCCACAACCTCAAAATCAATGCACTCAGATTTAAAATCCGTTATAAAATCTACCGGTTTAGGCTTAGTCAGAATTTAACTTGTGGGGGCAAATTTTGAGCTCTGGCAGATCAGATTCACCCTGGGTCTAGGGGAGCAGAGCTGCCGCCGGCTCCCCGGGGGGGGACAGGGTCCCCAGTGGGTGTTGGGTGACGGGGGGGGAAGGGGCTGTGGTGACCCCGGGGGCTCCTCTGGGATGCTTTGCCTCATGGCCATTTATTTTGAACAGAAGACAGAAGTAAAGATCAAAAAAGAAGAGCGCTCACATTTGTGTTAGTGAAGCACTTGAAGCACATACTTAAACTTCTTCAAAACTTGCCCTGTTCACTAACTCTTGGGGGGAAAAAAAAACCCCAACACCCAACCCTATTAATTTCCACACGCTAGAAAGAAATGTCAGAGTGAAGAATTTCGTAATTTCTAGGCTGACATTCATCATGAGAACAATTTTACCTTGGTTACCAGTGGGTGGGCTCCCTGCCATTTGAATCCCGTAGAGCCAAACTGGGAACGCTGCGGTTGAAGCAGGAATTTGAGCACGGATGCAGGAATATGATCGTAATGGCTTTCTTCTGACTAGCATCTGTGGGTCTGGGAGGCGTATACAAGTCTGTTCATAGATTGCAGCAAGCAGCACCTTTCGAAAAGTGCTTTTTACTCAATGTAATTTTTTTCTAGCTGGCAGGTTATTCTCACCTCATTGAATTCCTTGCCTCGTGCTCCATGTGCGAATTTGCTAATGAGCACTGACTCCTGCCACTGATTTTTATACGTCTGTAGAAGATTATCAAACCATATTAGTTTTGGCTTTGGTGCTGATTCAGTATCTCCCCCTTCCTTCTCTCCCATCTTCCATTAATAACCAAAGGGATCAAGACATGCAAAATTGCATATTTTATGTGGAAACAGAGAAGTAAGTTTTAGGAACAAATTCTTAGAATCTTTTACAGACACAATGTAAGAGGAAAATCCCATTTGACATAGAGCAGTGCTTAACTGAGGGGCTACACAAGATAAATACACAACAAGAACAGTATATTTGTCTGTCTGTCTGGATGGTGCGTTATAGCAACGTGTTTCTAGAGGTTTAACAAATGACTACATGATTGCATGTTAGCAATCATTCTAATAAAAAATTGTAGTTTATCTTTCTTTCTAACAAAGGTTTAAGGGACTAAAATGACAGATCAGTACCCAATCTTACTCATAGTCCCAACTGGAAATGTTACCTGTATCACGGAAAGTGTCTCCCATTTCCTGGTGATTTACAATACTTGGGATAATGGCTTTCCTGAGACCCAGAGTCAAAGCCACAAATCAATCTACAGCAATTTGTGTCCAAATAAAAAATTATTTAAGAAAAATGTATAGTTTGCAGTCTTTGCTTCTGAGTGTAGCCCAAGATTACTTCTCTCTACAACCCTTTTGTTACAGGATGAGGTGCAGAAAACGTGTTGTTAGATTAGGTGTGTTATGACTTCTTAGGCTAGGACAGAGCTGTTGCTGTCACCGTTTGTGCTGCCAGCTGGATGTAAAGTCACTGTCACCTTCTTCTTGTCAGACACTTCATTATAAAACAGAGCGGCTTTACTGTGAAGGACTACCAGTGATATTCCACTAATTCGTCGTTTCCCCAACTTCAAATTAACGCACTCAGATTTAAAATCCATTATAAAATCTAAGTAACACTTGTGGGGGCAAATTTTGGAGCTCTGGCAGATCAGATTCATGGGCTTAAAGCAGAAGAGATCATTCCTGCCGTGTGGGGAAGCCTGAGTGACTTCGTGTGAGTTTGAAATACTGTCACAAAGAGCTGGAATGGGCCACGGCACGTGGCTGTGTGGCAGTAGACAGCACGTGTAAGTGTTGTTAAGGGGCTGATACTGAAGTACATGCCATCTGAGGAGAAGAGAGATCTGTCACGATGCGTGCGACTCTTCCTGCCGTTACAGCCTGGTGGGTCTGACCTAAGAGCAGTCTTTCTTGGGACCCCGTTTCCAATGTTAGCCAATGCCTTATGCTTAGGGAAGAGTGTAAGAACAGGAGATGTGTTACATCTTTATCCAAATGTTTATATAAATATTTCTCCGAATGTTTATATACTCTCCGAATGTGCCTCTGAGTGTTTCTCAGACCCCTCTGCTTTGTCACTTGGGCCCTTCCTTTGCCAGAGCTCGTGTCTCTGGACAGCGTGCTTGCTAAGGCTTTATGTAGAACGAGAGGACTGAGTTCCCAATATCATCAGACAAGAAGTTAAAGTTACTGTAATCTTTGTCTTTTTAAACTCTCTAAATAGCCATCCATAGCTCTGGTTATGCTAGAAGTCTCTATTAAAGAATTTTTGTACTTTTCTTAGTCTTCATGGATTGAAACCTGGAGTTTCAAGGCACCTTGCTAGCATGATGTTTTTGAGAATGTGCCATGGCTCTGCATTAAGGGTGGAACATATAATACACTATTTTGAAAAGCTTGATTATATAAACATGGATTAATTATGCCGACAGAGTTGTGCATGCCTTGGGTTATTGTACAGGCTCTGGGCTGGGTGGTGGGGGTCAACCCATCACAGTTTATAAGTTTATTTTTTTTTACTCTCAATTTCTATTTGAGATCTCAAGTTTTATATGAAATTCCAGTTTGATTAAAAGATACTTTTTTTCTTTTACATTGTAAGGGTTATCAGCCGGTAGCATTGCTCAGTTTCCTTTAAAAAAAAAAAATTAAAAATAGCCAACACCGTCAAATGTGCTAGTTAAATATACCTGCCTCTGGAAGCCAGGTGCATAGAGCACCCATCTTTCAGCGCTTTGGAGTATGATTTTCAGAGATGACTTCTCAACACTTTTGAAAACTGAATCGTTATGGTAACTTCAGATGGATAATCACGAGCAGGAGCATTCAGATCACTAGTCAGTTCTGAAAATTACAAGTTGAAGGGCCATAAATAATGTAAAAATGATGTGCATGGGTTCCGGTCCTTTACTTCTACAAATATCTGACCCAAAAGGGTGACTTCAGTGCAGAGTTCATCACATGTTTTCACATAACAGTAATTCACAGTGAAGATCCGTAAGGATTTATTAGTAAAAATATATAGTCACTTCTAGTGAAAAGTCTGATGGACCTGTGGTTTTGGGGGTTCCCCTCATTTCAAGTCAGTCCTCTGAAGGTCAACAGGTCCTCTGAAGGTCATTCTCTATCCTTTTCCAAGTAAAGAGATAAAAGAGTGTAATGTTTACATAACTTTATGTAATATTTATGTCTAAAGATATTTTTAATAATCTCCTAAGAACACCGACAAGTGAAGAAGCAAAGATACTCTGTGAAGAAAATATTATACTAAATTATTTACCGTGGATGGATATTTTTAGAATTCTAATTTGAAATGTATCCATTCTCTTTCTTTTGTAGGTGGCTGGTATTAGGTATTGCCATGGTGCGGTTTTATATACAGAAAGGAACACATAGAGGCTTATTCAGAAGCGTTCAAAAGACGCTTAAATTTTTCCAGACATTTGCTTTGCTTGAGGTAAATTTTAAACATTAGTTTGCTTTACTGGATGCTGCATATCATAGGCAAAATACATTAATAACCTGAATTTAATATCAAAATATTGTATTAGTAGTTGAAGTCTATTTAACTCTATTATTTGAAGAAGATTCTTTGGGAGGCAGGGTGACTAGCTGAAACAAATGGGCACATTTTTTCAAGATTAATCCTAATATTTCTTTAAATCAAATAGTGCCTGGGAACTGCTTTGATTTGAGAGTCATTAACTCAAAAGGCAAAATCTCTGAAGGCATTCCAGCCGGCAGATCAACTCTCTAGCTTAGTAGATATCTGATCTCCATGTCCAGAGATGATAGCTTCCCTCTTACTCCTTGTACCGGGTTCGTTATCCTTCTGTGCCTTTCCTGCTCCTGCTTATTTCCAGACTCGACTCCCATGCCCCACCTAATCCATTACACCAGGGTTAGTGCAAGTTGTGCGAAGTATTCTTTAAATAATACAACGTTTTGCTGACTATGCACTGGTGATCTCAGTTTATGGTACATCTGTGGAATGAAACTTTTGGGTGTGTTGAGCACTTACAGTTCTTTCCCAGGCACAACAAAGAGTGCCTACCTACCTTTTAACTTTTTTTCTCAATCTGCCTATAACATCTGTAGTTCAAGCAACTATTAAAATCACGTGGCCTGCTGTGTATGGGCTTTAATGCTATGAAACTTTCACAGTAAGTAATTCTACTCAAATCTGTCAAAATAAGAAGAGCACTGTATTGGCTAAACAGTGCTGACCAGAAAATACAATAAATCTAAAGCTTCATAGCTGTCATTGACAAAATTAATAATGTTGATAATCCGTAAAGAGTACAGAACATTTTGTAATTGCTATCTGCTTAGCAGATATCTTATATGACTCCCTCCATGCTGTCCTGTAAAAAAAAGAAAAGAAAAGCTTCCTTTACCCTGTTGGGAAGCTTACTCGTTGAAAAAATAAATGCTTTGTCAGTATCTAAATATGTAATGTGTATGGTTAATTAGGAAAATACATCTATTTCATGTGCTTGCACAGATCAGATGCTGAGCCCATCACAGCATTTGTTGCCAGGGCTCTAATGTGTATTTCTTTTAAAGACTGTTAGTTGGAGCCAAAAAAACCAGTTCTCCTTCAGAATTAAGCCTAGGTTTATATTAATATCAAAAGGCCATGATTATAGTATAGAGAGTAACATACTGGACATCATTAACCTCTAACTTATTTTTATTTACAGGTAGTCCACTGTGCAGTTGGTGAGTTCCTCATTTTAGTTTTTCTTACAACTAATTAAACATGAATTGAGGAACAGAGATAACATGTTTCTCTTTTCAAGGAATAGTTCGCACATCTGTGCTTGTGACCGGGGTCCAAGTGAGTTCAAGAATCTTCATGGTGTGGTTCATTGCACATAGTATAAAACAGGTATGTGCCTGAGCGAGTCACGTTTTGATTGTTTTTGAGAAGAAGACATTAATACAGTTCTCACTTCACCAGGAAGATCGATTTAAAAATTAACGACGTTCCTCCAGAGAAAACTGACATACTTTAGTGCAATTTTGGAAGTTGGTGTTGCAATGTATGTGCTTCTACCCAGGAGACTGGGTCTAGGTCTTAACTGTGAATCAGCCCTCTCTTGGGCATCGTGCCAGCTGTGGTCTGCCTAAATGAGATCAATGACCACTGCTATTACTTACCAGCAAAGCTACCACAGTGTTACTGGTTCCCTTTCAGAAACTTAAATTAGCACTTACTGAATTAATCTAAATGAAAATATGTCTTAGATTGAATTTACCTGGATAAACATGGTTGTGACTCTGCAATCTATTTTAGCAACCTTCTCAAGATTTTAGCATTATGGTAATATTAATATTTGATGGCATGCATACTGCACTGTTTTCATTAAAAATATATCAAGTCATCCAGCATGCCACAATGATGCTTTAGGTCCTGTGTAAATGGCAGTAGTTTATCTGCCTGGCTGTAGGTGGTTGTTGTAGGTCTGGTGGTTTGTTAACAGAATGAAGCAAGCAGAGTGCTTACAGCTAGCAGATAGGATATTCAGTTCCCTTTCTGAGGTCTGCTTTCTGTGCAGGGCATGTAGGAATTTAAGTGATAGATTTTGAGGGTATTCTCCTGAATTTCTTTAAACTTAAAAAGCTGAGCCATTAAACTGTCTCCCCAGCAGATGGCACATGCCTCTCTGCTGATGGGATATCATAGCACCTGCCTCAGTTTTCAATTCCCTTTGTTTCAGTTCACAGAGGACTCGTTTCCTACACTTCATCTTTTCCTTTACTCTTGCTTTTCTTAACATGGAATAGCTTTTTTTTTTTTTTTTTTTTTTTAAGTTAATTTTTTTCATTTGTCCCTTAAATGAAAGTGTTTCAAAGATTAACAACTTTTTGTATTGAATGTTTACATGAATGCTGGAATATAGCACTGCACTGCATTTTGCCATTTTGTTATTATCTGCAGTGGATTAAATATTTAGCATATCCAGTCATTTTTTCTTTGTTTCCTCTATCTTCAGTACAGTAGGTCAAGCTATGTCCAAGAAAAAAATACATCTGAATGTATGTCTGATTGCATTTCACGCTGTTATTGCTTAGCAGGCATGAATGTTCAGGGTCATTTTAGGTGGTGAGAAGCTTGTTAGCAACAATAGCCAGACCCAGATCTCTCTACTTGACTGAAGATTTGCAGGGCAGCAGATAGGAATTCTCTGCATACTTATTTAAAGCTCTTCTGCTTGGATTTAGCACCATGACGTGAATCCAAGTTTGGGTTATCATTGTTTGTCTCTAATTGCATGAGGCAAAGAACAGCCTAATTCTGTCTTTTCCTTTGCTTATTTGTTTGGGTGTCTTTGCACTTCAGTTGTTGCTGTTTGTTTGTGAGTTTGGCAGTATTTTTATATCTCCTTTTGTTTTGTGATGTTGGTGAGATCCTTTCACTAAAAGTGCACCTTCTTAGACATGTTGAGGGCACGATTTTATGAGTTGATGAGCACTTAAAATTCTTCCTGACTTTTGACAGAGTTGTGCATTTGCAGCATCTTTGAGATGCATTAAGCTTTGTCACCGTGTTGCATTTTATTTAAAAAAAAAATTCTTTCCATTTTTTATAATTTTAACAAAATTTGTGTTACTTTATTTTATTTCACAGACATCCCTGGAGCTTTTCAGCCTTCAGGCATGGAAATGTATTACAAAATTCCTCCCCTTTTAAAGAAAAGAAAATTACTTGCGTGTAATTCTTCTTCTCAGAAGGTAGTGTTTGTAATAGATCCCCACATGCCTTCTTTGTATTTGGGGACTTTTATTTCTTCACTCAGAGTGAAAAAGAGCAGATGTTTTGAACCAGCAGAGATGTGCTACCTACTGATGAGGCAGTTTAATGACTCAGAACTTAAACAGGATCGTTGAGTGTGTTTACCCAAAGCTCCTGATCTGCCAACTACTCTTCATTTAGTGATCCATGTGTGTTCCAGCTCCTTATCTAGCTTACAGTTCCCTGAAGTCTGCTAAATTTGATCTTCTGTGACCAAGTTCCAGTTAGTAGATCATACTAAGCAATTCCTTTTGTCTAAAGTTTCATGGAGGCGTGCATTATATGGTGAAGAAGCAGCTAGATAAAAAGCAAGAGAAGGTCTAGGAGACAGAGTAGTGAAATGCAGAACGGCTGAAAACTGATTATGAAAGGAACATACTTTCTGTAGCGTTGCTTTCTTCTTACGGTTTTAAGGAGTAAGAAAATAAACAAGTGAATCAACCATAAATAAAAAGAGGGAGACAGTTAGGTAGCATAGTGAAAATGCAGGCAGAAAATAACAAGGAGGAATAAGCTTAATTACAGGGGTTTATATTTGGATATTTGCATAATGGCTAAAGATTTCTCAGTTTGCAAAGTGTCTGTTTTTTAGTAAATACGTACGATAAAGAACTGTATATGGTAATGGTTTCAACATACCACTTTTATGCCAAAATTTTCTTTCTTTACAAGATGTTAGTTCTGTTCCATGTATCTTAAACAGAAGTCTGTTGCAGTTTGCACAGAAAAGAAGCTTAAGGATGAAGAAAGTGTTGGTTCTTTATACTTCTGCAGATCCAGAATGAGGAGAGCGTTATTCTTTTTCTGGTCGTATGGACTGTGACAGAGATTACTCGATATTCCTTCTACACATTCAACCTGCTCAACCATTTGCCATACTTCATTAAATGGGCCAGGTGGAGATGTCTTGCACTTCAGTTTTTTATGCTTCTCTGCATGTTAGTTTCACGCATGCTGAGCTAACACACAGGAGAGCAGATGTTTGAGCTTTGGTTATGTGTCAGCAGAGCGCAAGTCAGTTGCTTTCTGTACTTGGGATCATTTTTACTTGGTTTAAAATGGTAAAAAATATTTTAGCTGGGATTTCGGGGTGTGATTTGTTCTTTGCTTTCTGTGTCTCATGGTTTGAACTCTGCTTTAATTTACTTTATTTATTTATTTTTTTAATCTTTGGAGTAATCTTTTAACTTACAGTATGACTCCTTAAGATGCTTTTGAATACAATGTCCAAAATTAAGCACCTGTCCTAGTCTTTGTGGATTTCAGGTCCTTGAAAACGTGGCAGCTGTTGTGTGCATATTACTACTTAATGACAAGTTCTGCTTTATCAGAGCTTTTGTAAGGTTATGTTTGTGTAGTGAAGCTACATATTGACTGAGTTTAGTCCACATCAAAAGTGTGTTCCATATCGACAGTGCTTTGAAGTATACTTAAGGTTGGCCACTAGATGACATATATTACAGAGACTGCATGTTTAGCAGGAGACTTAACTGGAAGAATAGTCATTATTTGAAAAATACACGTAAGACAGACAGTTACACTGTTAGAAGGAAAATATATAACTTACATTCAGCACACGTGACTCTTATTTAAATAAGGGCGTGTTTATTTTCCTTTATTTTTGTTTTATAGATAATGCAGTTCTGAAGCTTCTAATACACTTTTTTGATATGTCTGATATTTGTGTCCATTCTCATAATATATTATCTTTTTGCTAATACCTAAGGTGGTAGGCTTGGTTATGTTTAAGCACTAAATGGCAAACTTAAAAATAATCAGGTCTGGTTTCATTAATAACTTTTTATTTAGGCTTCAGAAAGAGAAATGCATTCAGAAAGTACTGCATTGACAGATCCACTTTTGGCCAGCAGGTCAACGTGTCTTGAATGACAGGATTTTTGTTTCCTTGTGATAGACAATAGAGAAACCTGAGGTTCTCACAGCAGAGATATATGGTGAAATATACTATAAACAAACCATTTGAAAATTTGTTATCTTTTCATAGAGTCCAAAATACCTATCAAGATTTATGGATAATCAAATAGCACAACTGGGCTATTCAGTACTCCAAGGGAGCTGGAAATTTTTGACCTTGAGCTTATAATTGCAAAAGATTTCTCTCTCCGTGGCTAACGGTATAGGTGCGCTCTAAATTTTAATTCAGAATTTTTACTTTTTTTCTTTTTTTTTTCTCACTGCATAGAGACAAACCGAGTGTAGGTCACAGCATCAGCTCCTTCTTATACTTCCCTTCGTCTGCTCTGTGACCTGTGAGTCCTCTAAGCCCATCTGCTCCTAGGACAGTTGCATATTTGGTTGCCACAGTCCTGGATCTCATCTCGTTTGCTCAGGGGGTACATGCTGTACCTTTCTCTCTGTGTGACAGCTCTCACTGCTGTTCCCTGCACGGACCTGGGAGCTGTTCCTTGGGAGAAGCTGCTTCTCCGTGGTGCACTGAGGAAAGGCAGCACAAACCCTATTGATTACATTTTTCATTTTGTCACCACCTGTGTGGCCTATGGCATACCAACCACATTTTATTCACCTTTTATTTGAATATCTTCTTCCTATTTTAGAATGGATCTCAGGAGTTTCTGGCAGTTTCATTTTATTTTATTTTTTATTTCCATTTGCATTAGTGGTAAAGGTAATATGATTTGGATTTCCCACGTGGCAGTGGGTAAAACAGGCTTCTGATGTTTCTCAGTGTTTTCATTATCTTCAAAGAAATCATACTACATTGAGCTGACCCAGTGTGCGTGCACTGTGACAAGGATATGTAGGATCATCTGAATTTGGGATACAGTCCTGGTCTGAATCCTGCCAGAGACAACAGGAGCAAGATCAGTAAAGTTAAAAAAAAAAAAAAAGAAGTCATTATTGGAGACTACAAGTTTGAGGATTCTTTTATTCTTTAGTATTAGAAAGGCATACAAAGATTCTGATACTTCACTGTTTTTTAATAAAAGGACTGAGGAATGCATTCTCTGTAAATCTAAGCAGCGCTATCCAAAGTAACTGAAACTGGTATTCTGTGCCAAGTCAGGGTGCAGTCCTTGATTTTGGTGCAGGAACTACTGTAATACATTGCTGTGCCACTAATAATAACAGGAGGAAATTTCAACCTCATGGGGTGTTTCTCACAAGGGTTTTTCTTTTAATGCAGATACAACTTTTTTATCATTTTGTATCCTGCTGGAGTTGCAGGTGAACTGCTAACCATATATGCTGCTTTACCCTATGTGAAGAAAACAGGAATGTTTTCACTGAGACTTCCCAACAAATACAATGTCTCCTTTGACTACTATTACTTCCTTATTATTGTCATGTTCTCCTATGTGCCGTGTAAGTATTACTTAACTGTAGTAACGCTAATAACATAATAATCAATCATCAGCAGTGCTGGAAATACTGCCTGTGGTTAAATTTGCCGAATGCTTTCTTCTATAAAAGCCTGCTTTCTGTTGTTCCAAGCTTCGCTGTGCTTTAATTGGTTAGACTGAAATTTTCCATCCTGTTATCTGCCTCCGAACATAAGCTGTCTGAAAAATTTCACTGAGAATGCTAAAAACTTAGTTCTAAGACTTGGACAAAGTTAAAAACCTTTTTGCTGTAACTCTGTTGCTGAGAATGGCTACTGCCCCTCCCGCTTTGAAACAATAGCTGAAAAATTGTCCTGCAAGTTGTGCCAGAGATTTACTTGCTTTTATTGCTATTAATATCCATTTACGTATCACCTCTGAAAAACACCATTTGAGCATGCTCAGGAAAAACTTGAAGCAATATTCTCCAGTATTTTGTTTTCATAGAAATCCACCCCCAAACATCTCTGAACATGCCTCGGTCCCTGGTTTAATCAAATTCTCCTTGTACTTCTGGATACCAGAAGCCACAGATCAGTTGGCTGACCAGAGCTAAGATTAGAGAGAGTATCTGTCTTTGGCATTCAGTGTTCTTTCCACTGGTACCTCAGCAGTGTAGACAAGGAGAAACCAACCTGATCCAGATATGACACCATGAGGGGGGCTAGACCAAACTAGGCAAGAGGAATATTTTAGATAATCTGCACAGTGAGGCAAGAGATCAGGGAGAGGCATTGAGAAGCAGGAAGATTGAAGTTAAGGGGGTCTGTGATGTGCATCCATGAAAGGTATTCAATTTAGAAGTTGACCTTAAATGGGGACTTTCACAGTATGGACACGTGCTGTGATTTTTTTGGTCACGAGAAATCATGAAGGCCAACAAGAGAGATTTAAATAAGTAAAAAAATGTCCTCAGCGATCATAACTTACTGATAGTTTTACAATTGTTTATATAATACAATGCTTCAGGAATAAATGCGATTTTCTATCCATTAAATATAAGGATGGAGTGTATCAGCAGGACAGTAACACCATCGGTAACAGAGAGCCAGGAGAGAGGGAGCTCCTCACTTCAGACTTGAACAAGTCGGGTAATTTTGTGTCCTCCTCGTAGTCTTTAATTCAGACATGCTTGCCTTAGCACAATTTCGAGGTTAAGTGGTTAAGTCCTGTTTCTAGAAAGAAAGTGTGGAAGGGAAGTTGCTTGAACACAGGGTATAGTGTGTCTGAATTTTGAGTAATTATTGCTCTGCAATTCATTGCAATGTTCATGACTTACTGTTACTTACCTTAACCGGTTCTAGTGCTAGGTGCCATAATTTTTCCTCACTTCATCATTCTGCAAAATTTAATTTTTCCATTATGTGACCTGTTGAATTTTTTCATCTAATTTGTTTTTTTTTTTTTTTATGCTTTGATCAAGTATTTCCACAACTCTACTTCCACATGCTGCGACAGAGAAGAAGGGTGCTTCATGGAGAAGTGATTGTGGAAAAGGACGATTGAATCAAGACGTGTAGCTATGGTGCTTTTAATGGGAAAAAAAGGGTAAAAACCAAAACTTCCTGTGATTTTTCTGAGTCCAAGTTTTAAAACATGGAACAAGAATAAACAACTGTGCATTAAATAGCATGGACTGTATTATTTTTATGTTTAATATATCTTCAGACTTACCTTTTAATCCTTGGTTTCACTTTGATTTTTATTTGTTCATTTCTTCAGATGAATTATTTTCTTATTTTTAATAGGTTGGCAAATAGCTTTAAGAATTGGAATAATTGGCTACTGTGCTTTCTACTCTGAAAGTTCTGTTATGATCTGTAGTCATCATCAAGAACAGAAGGAGAGTTGATAAGTTGTACTGAAAGTGAGTCTTCTGGAAAACAGAGCATAAATTAGGTAATGGTGTTTTTGATAGACTAGGTGGCTTAAATGTTATTTAAGCTTTATATTAAGTAATACCTTCCCAGTTATAAGTACTGTTAGCATGCTGTTCAACGTTCTTTGGGTTACAGGATTACACTGTAGAATTCCAGAAGGACTTTTGAAAGGAGCTGAATTCTTGTCAGTGCAACTTTAGAACTCTCTGTATTTTCATTTGTAATTTTAAAGACATGTAGACTAATGGATATAACATGAACTGGTTAAAAGCTTGTGCTGAGGACTGGACTTGATGTGCTTACCTTTCTCTGATCAGTGGCTGGAACGGGACTCGTTTGCAGAGGAAGACTGATTGTCAGCTTGTTGCCTATTCTACGCTGAATTATGTATGCAGAAATATTATGGTATTGCATTTAGAAACCGTAGCTATAGTGAGCTAATTAACTTCTTTTAAATAGCTAAGCAGGATAAAATATATTTGAAATAGCATCTTAAAATATAAATCGTGCTTTGAATCATCCCATTGTGCAATTTTAGTTGCTCCCTCCCCATTAGTTGTTTATTCTGTGTTTACCTAATTCTATTTAATGTCTTCAATAACCTGCAAGAAGGATCTACAGTGTATCAATAAAAGCTACAGATGATACTACACTATATGATACCTGAGTGGGAGAGGTCCAGGGCATTAGACACAGCCAAAGAGATTCAGAGAAAAGGTAACACATTTGAGGAAACTTGGATACTTAGTGAGAGAGAGAGAAGATTGAAACGTAATAATGTAGTAAGAAGCTTTGATAATGTAGGCAACAAAGTTGTTTCTGGCATCACTGCTGTCAAAAGAAGAGTATATATGCAGAAAAGCTGCACCAGGCAGCTGGGAATCAGAATAGTCCTTATGATTGCTGAGGTCATTTCTGGAGGACAGTGTTATATTTTGGGTAGCTCAGGGAGGAATTGAGTCATTCTTCTGAAAAGTCGGAGAACAGTAACAAATCAGTTAAAGTGAGAAAGAAGTCAGAAAGGTTGAATTTTTAAGTGTGTATAATTTTTTGTTATGTGAGAAATACATGTAAAGGAAGAGGCTTTCTAAGTATGAAGGTGTAGCTAGAACTGGTTATATGAATTTGAAACAAGGTAAATATCCAATGAATTTCAGGAGGAAGATCCTACCAATGAGATGAGTTAGGTTATGGAATGGCACAGTAGTGCTTATCAATACACACGATTTCTTGGAAGGTTTTCAGTTAGATGTAATGCAGTAGTGGAAAATTATCTTCCTTTGGCAAGAGTTTGAACTACATACTTGAATAGGCAGTTTCCATTTTTAGCTTCAATAATTCTATGATAATACAGCTTTTTTTAAAGTTATAGATACACCCTTTTTCTGGTGTGTCAGGTAATTTGATGATTTGTTATCTATTTGAGGATTTATTAACTAACTTTCAAATTCCATTTTGTGCCCCAAATTTGTGATATTTATGCATGTCTTCATTACTTGTAAATTTGTTTCCTTTCAAACGACAGGTGCATAGTGGACTTGAGATAGAATAGTTGTATTTCTTACCATTTTAAAAGGTGTAATCTTTGTATTTTTTAGAAAAAATTTCACGCAAGGTGCTATAATTTATTACTTCTCTGTTTTATATGCAGCTAAAACTATTAAAAGTTTAAACAACATTTACAACCCTGAATCACAAACCAGTTGTGTTGCACACGTTCAGACTAGCAGTTGTATTTGTCCCAAGTCCTTAGAGTACTGTTTTATAAACTTCACTTGCTTTTTGATCCGTGACGAACATCATGGCAGTTTTTAGAAACACTTCTCAATTAGCAAGCAGAGGAGCAGGATGAAATAGGAGTAATTTAAGATTAGATTAAGTTCTGTGTCTCTTTTTACTGTCAGGGCAGCTCACTGAAGACCATAGCTATCAATTCATTGAAAATGCATTGGATACTTAAAATACGTGATTTTGAAATCCTTCATCAGATGAGTGTATCTCACAGATATTATTCCTGTAATAAAAGGAATATCTGTGCTGTAACACTGTATTATATTTTTTTTCATCGTGGCCTGAGGATATTATGTCAATCAAGGAGCTATTTTTATATCCTTTTGTGTATGGGACATGAAAAAAATACAGCATTGTTTGCTAAAATCTTGGGTTTGCACTTTCATAAAGCAACAGCGTACAAGGTGGTGATGCAATTTTAAAAGTGATTTACAGCTACAGAAGAGTATTGCGAAATGATAAATGAATAAAAATAAAGCTAAAAATTACTTGCAGTATTGCATTCAATGTTTCATAGACCAGACAGATTGCCATGTAGATTAGTTTACATGGCATGTACTTTAAAGAAAAGCAAGCAACGTGTTCTTTCCTTTCTCTTCATTTTGGTTGAAGTATTTCTCTGACGCCTCAGTGTATACCTTTTGTTTTAGCATCTTCTCAAAGACAGTGAGAATTACAGGTAAAAGTCCCCTTTCCATCGATTTCAGATGGGCCAGGATTTTATCCTAGGTAGCTTACTTAAACTTCAGTATAACATCATGAGACATTTAATTAGCCTGTTAAATAGACATCAGAAGTTAAGTATGATTTTCATATGGTGCTCCCTTTCCAACTTCTTTTTGACACCTGTCTTTTTTGTCTTCCTCTCTGCAATATTCATAATTTTCTAAAGCCTTGAAATCTTCCTGTTTTGAAAGATTAGAACTGTATTCAAGCATCAGCGTCTGTAATGTTTTGATTTAGTCTTTAACAAACTGTTCATATAAAGGTGTTTTCTTACGTGTGCTAGATATGCCTTCTGGAAGGGATTCATATAGAGTATGACCTTTGGAGGCTTTTTTAATGACAATACATGGGAATAGGCATTTGGGAGGAGATTCCTATTCATCAAGTGACATTTCCTACTATTGGTAGTAGCATAAGCACTTTTTATGCCCTTTTTCTAAACTCCTGCTCAAAGCAGTTGGATTTCTTGAGGTTCCCCCGGGAAAGGCTGTTCCAGGAGAGATGGGGTGAAGCACCTGGTTTCCCAGCTCTGCCCGGAGCGTCGAGAGGACCCCATCCTGTCCTCGAGGCACGGGCAGGACAAAGGAATATGATGCTGAGAAATTGCAGTGACTCTTAGAGGGTCACTGGGGCCATGGTGAGCAGGAGTTAATAGATGTCATTGCTCCCGGATGTGAGAGGAGAAGCAGCTCTTTGTGCTCTCCTACCTTCTGGGAGGGAGCTCCTGAGGTCAGCTGGGAGGATCTCTGTGCACAAAGAGGGTGTGACAGAAGGGGCTTTTCTGCTCTGCTCAGCTGTCTTGCTGTCTATAAACCTCTGGTTCTTGAAATGCTGGTATGGCAGGGTGCAGTGTGCTGCTTCTGATGCCCACTGAGTATCACATTGAGCCAGGTTTGTGTCAATGGACGGATCTCAGTGACTAGTTCACAGGGGGGCACGTGGAGATCTTTTCTGTGACCAGAGGGAACCTGCCTTTTCTTACCCAGAAAGAAATATTTTAAATTTTAAATCTAGGTCTGGCTAGTACTCTGACTGCGGTGCTTGCAGTCTTCACAGTAGCTTACTTTAGCGGATATTTGGATATTTATATGTACTAAATAAACTAGAATGAACCCAAATTACAGCCATGGCAATAAATTATAATTGAAGGGAGTTGCTACATTAACAGTTTTTGTGAATTCAGCTCGTACTTAATCTGCCTTAGAAAAAAAAAAAAGGAAAGTTAATACAAATAAATGTTCTGCACTAGGCAGGAGTGCTTCATAAATCAAAATTTTCAGGCAGGCAAACAGGCTGCAGTTGTTTATAAAGGACTAGTTAAATGTGGTTTTGAACAAAAAGATTGAAAGCTTTTCTGAAAATTAAATTTTATTTCATAATGTATATTTTAAAATGTGCTCAACGATACTGTATTATTTATTACTAGCTCATAATTTAAATTCGTGCTGAACGTACACTTTTTATAGATGATTAACCGTAGCCCATTAAAAGTGTTTTATTCTCTGTTTGTGACAATGTCTGTTGAAGAAACAAGCGCCTCCTGTTTCTGCAGAGCTCTGTGTTCTCTTGCTCCAGCGAGTTGCGGTGGTGTTAGTGCCTACTGAGCTTTGGGAAGGTGGCAAGTTAATATATTTGGCCAAGGGTAGCTCCTTCATCTTGCTTCCATGAGGGTTGTCCTCTTGGTGGTCCTCTTGGTGCATGTCTGGTATCGTCCCTCGCCGCTGCCACCCCAGGGCTGTTGGGTGCTTTCAGTAGGGCTGAAGGCTCCACCGGGGTCAATACGTGACTCATCCTCATGAATCAGCAGATGGAGAAGACCCGTCTTGTGAATTCTTAGGTCACGGCAGTGACAAGTCTGACAAGTGAACCCAAGGCTGTGCCGAGACAAACCGTGGAGGACCTGGGTGTTGGGTAGCTCTGCCCCTCTCAGGGGAACGTGCTGTCCAGCTCAGGCCGGCAACTGGTGGTGGATTTGGAGTGCTCAAATGTACTCTACTCTCCGTGTCATGTTGTATCAGCTGGAACATGTTGTCTTTTTATTCACAGCTCTCTTGCTTCTCCCTTCAATCTTGAATGTATTTTATGTCCTTTCTGTTGATGGCTTTGTAAAAGTGTGAGTACAGAAACACTTCTCTAAGTGTACCATGTATAGAATTGTACTTAAAGATTCTTAATAACCATGTATAGAATTGTACTTAAAGATTCTTAATAATGTATATGCACTGCAGCTGCTCGTTCTTGTTATTTTTTCTGAAATGCATTATCATTAGCAGTTTACACAGGAAAACAACACCATATGATCCTTTTAATAACTTATTTATTTGCAAAGATTGTAAGATTTGTTGAGCTATAGATTCAGATACTTGTTTTAGAGATTAATACTGTAGCACTGTAGAAATTCATCATCAATTAAAAGACATGTTTTAAACTATGTTCTATTTGATTTTATTTTTTTTTCGTAGCACATAGAAGTCGGTTCATACAAACGTTCTGCATTTTACACCAGAGTGCTATCTGTTTACAAATGCTGTACTTTTTTGTCTGGAACTATTTCACAAATTAATCTTTAGATCCTCTGTAACGTATTTATTATTAGCCAGTCGTCCTTTTTATATTTCTTAAAATATGTTCCATTAAAAAAGAGATAGGTTGGAGGAGTAATATTGGGTTATCAAACAAGAGGGAAAAATACAGGGCATTAAAGAGAATGTATAACCTCTATCCACATGTATGAAGACAATTGCTTTGCAGTGGTCCTGAAATAGGTATTACATTAGTGGGCATTTCAGTGTTTTGGAAGAGGGCTTTTTTGTGGTATTAACCTTTGAGGGGGGTGGAAGCAGCGAACATCCTCTGGCTGTCCTTTGCTACGTGACTAACAATGACATTGCAGCTCTGAGGATTTTGTTGCCATGACAGCTTGATAAAGCAATATGTGAGTGTTCACACCTACTCCTTTTGAATTGGGAATCAAGTGGCTGTAACCCCAAGGAGCTTAACCGCGTACGGAGGCTAAATCCTGTTAGTCAGATGTGTTAGAATGGAGACGAAGGTCTCCTCACCTGAAACTCGCAGAAGTGGTCGAGTAGTAACACTCTACCTTCTTAAAGTACATCATTCTGATCTAAATTTACAGGACAGGATTTACTTGGCCTGGCCCTCTACCAACATCAGACCGGTCGGAGTTGTGTGGAAGCCAATGGAAGAATATCCACCTACAGGGATGCAGACATTCATGTGTTCTGCCCTGTGGAAATCTGGATTTACCAGGAAAAGAGTCAATTCTATTCTCCCTGTTAGCTCTGTCCGGGAGAGAGCAGATGTTTGGTGCGTGGTGGCTCACCTGCCTCCCAGCTGCACCCAGTGCTGCTCCCCAGGGAACACGCCAAAAGACCGGGAAATCACAGAATCATGGAATCTTCATAGTTGGAAGGGACCTTTGAGATCATCGAGTCCAACCACAAAAAAAAACAAAAAACCAAAACCACAAAAGAAAAACCAGCCCACAAACAGACACAACCCAACAATCTCGGGCACTAGAGCATGCCCTGAAGTGCCACGTCTATATGTTTCTTAAATCCCTCCAGGGATGGTGACTCCACCACCTCCCTGGGCAGGCCCTTCCAGGGCCTGACCACCCTCTCAGGAAAGTCATTCTTCCTCAGATCTCATCTAAACCTCCCCTGCCCCAACTTCAGACCATTTCCTCTGCTCCTGTCATGATTCCCTTGGGAGAAGAGGCCAACCCCCACCTCTCTGCAACCTCCTTTCAGGGAGCTGTAGAGGACAATGAGGTCTCCCCTCAGCCTCCTCTTCTCCAAACTCAACATGCCCAGTTCCCTCAGCCTCTCCTCGTAGGACTTGTTCTCCAGACCCCTCCCCAGCTTGGTGGCTCTCCTCTGGACATGCTCCAGCACTTGAATCTCCAGCCTTGCGCTGCTGTGGCATTACACTGCTCCGAATTCAGCAGAGTCACAGAAACTCCCTTCACGTATCTGCAGAAGTATCTTTTATTTCTGAAATTAATTTAGGCCCGATGACACATCCCATTAAAAATAGGCAGGGTGGATCAGCCCTCACAGCTGCTTGGCCATCGCTGGCTCGGAATGCTGCTGTCACCGAGCCACTTCGGTTTTCACGTGTGGCCTCTTGGCAGTCTCTGCTCGTACCACGCTCATGAAATGGCTCTTTGCCCCCCCTTAAGTGGCCAATCCGGATTCAGTAGAACAAATCGCAAATGAGGAGCAAGGAAAGATGGGGATGGGCGCCCTGCTTCACCTTCCAGGTGCTCTCCTGTGCTCTGGAAAGAACCCTGGCTCTGCAGTCAAATCTTCATGCCTCTTAATTTGTCAGGTGTCAAGTTGCACTGTGTAATAGAATATTACACAATATTTCTTTCAACTGATGAAGGAAAGAAACCAGTTTGAGTACCGGAGGCAGCAGATCACAATGTGTTGTGTAGATTAAGTCTGGCAAGACCATGAAGACCTGGTGGGATTCACCTGGTGACGAAACAGAGAGGGAATTGTGCCTCTTGCAGCCAACTGAAAGCTGAGTATTGAACATTGCTCCCGTTTTCATTCCAACTGAGGTGATTTTGCTGGGAATAATAGTCTGGAATTCGTGTCAGAAGGATGCTTTTACAGTGATCATTTCTGCCTGGGCCTGGATTGATTAATTCATGTCAGAAGGATGCTTTTACAGTGATCATTTCTGCCTGGGCCTGGATTGATTTAACTTTCTGATCTCAACATGGTATTAATGACAGGTTCTGTCCCAGCAAACAATTCCTCTAGAGGTTCCTAAATAGGAAGCTTAACTGAGAGTTCGTGAGATATAAACACTTCTGAGCCTTTTCATATTCTTAAGGAGAAATAATAATTTAAATCATGTGAGGATTGATTTATTTATTTTGTTCTCTATGCTTACAACAATAACACAGTGCTTGAAAAGGAGCTGGAAATCTATAGGACAATGCCCAGATATTAATCTTTAAAAGAATGCTGGTACTGAATATTTAAAAAGATGGTAATATCTTAGGGTTAAGAGGAAGAAAGCAGAGGCACAAACTAACTTTTCTCAGACTGAAGGAGTAGCTCAAATCTTGAGTCTGTCTCTTCAGCTCTGATCCATGGGCAGTGTCTCCTGGTAGCAGTTATGCTATAAATCTCACTGGGTTCATACTTGATAGAGGAGGGTGTGGTTTCTCTGATTCTCAACCTTTTAAATTGAAAGATTGTCTTAAGAGCCATATTAGACAGCCTTGCCGTAATTTTTATTTGCCATGAAACCAAAATGAAGCTACTTTTCAGGTTATCAGTTTCCTGCCATTTTTTTTTCCCTTTGCTGTACATAAAGGAATATTTGGTCTACATGATTTTCTCAGGCATCTCAGAGCCCTGCTGTTCTGTGAGTCAGCAGTACTCCACAGTCCACAGCTTCCGAAATAACTTCATTCTCCCAATAATTGCAGTTGTAGGACTAGTATACACTGGTATTACACTACTGTATGTCACTATTCTGCTAGTAATACACTAGTGCTTTGTAGAAATGTGATTGCCTCCTGAATAATGTCTGTTGTGTGTGAACAGGTTTGGGGGGTTTCTTTCTTTCTTTCTTTCTTTCTTTCTTTCTTTCTTTCTTTCTTTCTTTCTCTCTCTCTCTCTCTCTCTTTCTTTCTCTCTCTCTGTCTTTCTCTCTTTCTGTCTTTCTCTTTCTTTCTCTCTTTCTCTCTTTCTTTCTCTCTCTCTTTCTGCCTGTATATTACTTACAAACTAATTACATCATTGCCTACCGAATATGGGCTTTTGTGGTTGGCATAAACGTGAGTTCCTTGAGTTTTATGTTGGGTTTGTAGTCCACTGGATCGTTAGGTTTAACTCTTAGCTGGAAATGTTTGTGGGAAGGATACAGTGATTTCACTGTCTGTCTGAAGTGAGCGTTATGGGATATCTTTCTATAGGATATAACATTCGGGATATCTTTCTCAATGCATTCAGTATTTAAGCCTGATTCCTTTTTTGTCTTAGAATCATAGAATCACAGAATGGTTAGATTCGGAAGGGACCTTAAAGATCATCCAGTTCCAACCCCCCTGCCCTGGGCAGGGACATCTCCCACCAGACCATGTTGCTCCAAGCCCCATCCAGCCTGGCCTTGAACCCCTCCAGGGATGGGGCTTCCTTCTGATCCGTGCAGGCTTCTGGTGGAGAGGGAACAATCATGAGATCTCTTGTAAATAATGTCTGGTTTTTGTTAGTTCTCATTCCAGTACCCCAACTCCTTTGAAGGCTTGCTGCAATCACAGAATCACAGAATCTTCTAGGTTGGAAGGGACCTTAAAGATCATCTTGTCCAACCGTCAACCTAATTTTGACAAAAATAAACACCTACACAACAAACAAAAAGCAACACCATCACTAAATCGTATCTCCCAGCACCACATCAACCCGTCTTTTGAACACCTCCAGGGATGGTGCCTCAACCACCTCCCTGGGCAGCCCATTCCAATGGCTGAGAACCCTTTCCTCGAGCTGTTAACCAGCACTAAGCTGGAGACAACTCAATTGCCTTCCCGTGATCTGTAAAGTATGAAGGGACAGAGCGTGCAGGGTACAGAGAGTCAGCAGAGAACAGCAGAGCTAACGTTTCGTGTTAGATGAGGAGTGGGTGGCTTTACCCATGTACTGAGGGTAGCATGGAGGATTTGTGTTTAGGGAAGCGAAAAGGAGACTGTTTGTGAGTCAGTCACCCCTGGATGGCTGCTGTGCTTGTGCCTGGAACAAGCTTGCTATTTAGCCCTTGGTATTGAGAAGACACATGAGACGTGCTTCACTGATGAGTGGTACCATTTATATATCTGCTCTTGTTTTTCATTTCTGGGCACACTATGTGCCTGCAGTTGCACAGATGCTGCTTTCTACACGTTAAAAGAATTAACACCTTCCTCCACTGTTTCAACGTAGTTTAATTCTGAGATGTCAAGAACTTCTTGGAAGAAATACCGCTTTTCTTCTGATTCCTTCTTGGGAGCATGAATGTTTCAAGTAGTAGAAGTAAATCTATTCAGGGTTTTGGATGCCCTCCCTAAATAGTTCTGGCAGCTAATTTAGTCCTGTCTCCCATCTTTCTGATGTCCTCTTTTCCAGCATAGCCTGTATCTTCTAATTCATTCTGCACTATGAAATCTCATTACACAAAATAAAATATGTATGAAGGAGAAATACGAGGTATGCAGGTGGGCCAGCAGGCCCGGAATGTCCTTCCTTAACTGCAATCTTCATGGCAATCGTGTGGGGAATGTCAGACCAACAATGCTGGGGAACAGCACGACTCTTCTTCACCAACAACGGTCTTAAAGTTCCCTGACTGTGAAGCAGTCGGAGGGGAAGCTGCTCAGGGGTGGGGTTTTTGTCAGTGCTCACCAGAAGC